CAAGCAGCCATGCAGCCACCCAGCAAGAAACCGCGAGTCAGCATACGAACGATTCAGCAAGCTGGTTTGCGCAGCTCCGTGCGTGCAATCCAGCGAGCTTTCGGGTCCATTGCTTCCGAGGAGGCGGGCCCTGGTGTGAGCGGGTCATCAGTGGTTTCGTGCACGCAACAGTATGCGAGCAAGCTTCGGACCCCCTATGGGTACCTCATGGAGAAGCTGCGCGCGCCTTTGACTGATGGCACGCACGTGGACTGGACAATCGCGAACCCGTTCGCTCTGGTGTGGTACTTATGTTCGATATCGGTCGGGTTCAGCAGTTTGATGGCGCAGCACCTGGCCAATCGGGTTGGCTCGCTTGTGTTCTGGGGGGACGAAACCACGGCGGGCAATCAGAACCGCCATGACTCCAGGACCAAATTCGTTGCCATCTATTGGGTTTTCAAGGAGCTCCCCGAGGCCTGGCGCACGTCCGATCACGGCTGGTTCCCGCTTGGCTTCATGAAGTGGGACCTGCTCCAGAAAGTGAAATCCAAGTATTCTGGTTTATTACGTTTCGTGTTCCGCCGATGTTTCCTCCAGCCGATTAACTTTAAAACAGGGTTCCTAGTCAAATCTGCGCTGGGTGGTGAATTTCTAGTCCGCGCCCGATTAGGTTTCGTCATCCAAGACGAGAAAGCTTTTAAGGAGATGAAGCTTGTATTTGGCGCGTCTGGCAACACGTGTTGCAGTTCATGCAAAAACATCTATCAGGGCGACGAATCGAAGATAGAAGGTAACGAGTTCGTTCGTCATTATAAGAAGGCGCTTCCCCATCAGTTCGTTCAACACACGGACGCGTCCGTGTGGGAGATGGTTGACAAATTGGCTGCCTTTTCTACAACCGCAAACAAGACTGATATGGCCGTGAAGGAGCAGGTGTATGGTTTGCATTACGACCCAGAGTCGCTGTTGTTTGATCGGGAGCTTCGGGAGCATTACGCCCCACATTCGTCCACGATGTGGGATTGGATGCACTGCGTGGTTGCCTCGACTGGCACTGCGCAGTACAACTTGAATGGTTTCGCGTTAACGCTTATTGGTCACGGCATTCGGTTAGAGGATTTAGACACGTTCTCGGCAAAGTTGTCAGAAAAGAATGGTAAGGTTGCTCCGTTGCCTTCAGATTTCTGGCAGAAGCGAGTGGTGACGAAAACCAGTGCAAAGAATCCTGATAAAGCATTCTTTACTAAAGCCTTTGCGGGGGAAACAATCACGGCCGTCACTGTCATGACATATTGGTGCAATCATGTGTTACCCCGCGTTCGCGACCAAACAGCGGTTGCGGCGCTTAGGGAGCATGCCGAGTGCATGCGAACGTTAGGGGGCATCCTGGACATACTGACCATGGGAGACGCCGCCACTCGCCACTGCGACACGCTTGCGAACTTGTTTTCTAAACATCACGTGCTCATGCTGAAACTTTATGGGCCAGAATACGTGAAGATAAAGACCCATTTGTGCCACCACGTTCCAGATGTTATAACGAGGGCGGGGGTGAACTTCAACTGTTTTTCTAATGAGAGGCGCAACCGCCTGCTAAAGGCTGTTTGCGTGCACGTGACGCACGTCAGTGAACCTTCGGCATCGGTGATGGGCCGCATCCTGTTGGACCTAGAGGATCGCATTCGCGGCGCCCCCGCCGTGTCAGAGTACCTGGTTGGCCCCATGAAGGAAACGCCTGAACTTATGGAGTTTTTCGATCCCTCGCATTTGCCGACCAAGCTGTTTGCGTCCAAGAGTATGGCGTGGTCGCGGGGGACCCTTCGATGTGGCCAGGTTGCGTCAGTCAGGCAGCGTGGGGGTGGTGATATGTTCATTTCTTTGTTCGGTTTCTTGGGGGCGCGGTTTTCTTCGGACCCCATTGTCCCCGTCTGCTACGTGATTGGCCAGGTCCTGGAGCCGACGGCGCGCGATCGAACGCTCATGAGTGTTGGGGGCAGCTTCGAGATCACAGTCGCAGATGATATCGTGGACACGCACATCGCAGTGAGGGTAGGTGATTTCGTTCGCCCCATCGTGAGGTCCATTGCTCGGTGAGTTTCACTTCCGACTAGGTGCGGCCGCGAGCGGGCGTGCAATCCTCGAACCGATGGGGGGGCCGATTTGGATGATGAGGATGATGAGGAAAATGAGGAGGAGGAGGCGGATGAGGGGGGAGGGGGAGGAGGAGAGGAGGAGGAGGAGGAGGAGGAGGAGGATTGGGAGGAGGAGGAAGGAGGAGGAGGAGGAGGAAGGAGGAGGAGGAGGAGGAGGTGGAGGTGGAGGACGGGGAGGAGGAGGAGGAAGGAGGAAGGGAGGCGGAGGAGGAGGAGGATGGGGGAGGAGGAGGGGGGGAGTAGGAGGATGGGGGAGGAGGAGGAGGAGGAGGAGGAGGAGGAGGAGGAGGAGGAGGAGGGGGAGGATGAGGAGGGGGAGGATGAGGAGGGGGAGGAGGAGGAGGAGCAGCAACAGCAAGAGGATGAGGATGGGGGAGGCGCCCAATCTGGATTGCTCATCCGTTCGCGGGCGCCGCCCCCAGCGCTGCTGAGCGGCAGCGAGTTGCGATCCGCGTCAGGCCGTCAGACCACCCCCTCGGAGACGACGGGGCCGCGGCCTGGCAGGGGGGATGGGGAGGCATATGATGTCGATGAGGGCGACGGCGAGGATCGCGACGACGGCATGGGGGCACAGGGGCGACGCCGACCGAGACGTGGATGATACGACGCATGACGATGACCAAGACGATCACGGCGTGACGGTCGCAATATAGGGGGCAGAGGCTTCGCCCTGCCGCGCGTGTTGCGCGCAGTGTAGGCTCGCCGCCCAGTGCATCTGGTACTCTTCTCACCCTCCCAATGCATTATCCCATACCCTCTCAACCTCTCAATGTCTGGCTCAGTCTCTCAGCCAGGGCCTAGCTTGAAGCTGTGGTCGTGCGTGTCGCACGCTCTCGCGCGGGCGTGCTCGCATGGAGTTTGGCCCAGAGATCGCTGGTCCCATAGCCACAGTAAAGGAAGCCCTCCCGCTCGGCACTGTGACGGCTGATCAGGCCAGGCTGATTTTCTGCCAGACGGGCTGCAAAGTGCATGTGCGAGACCGCCAGAGGGGGGAGGGGAAGCAGCTCCAGATAGTAGGGCGCTCGTCGAACCTCAAGGCGGCGTACGATTCGGCGTGGGCGTTCATCATGCACAACGGCCCCCCAGAGCATAGGTTGTTCCAGGACATGCGCGTGGCTCTTGGCAAGCCGTCCTGGGACAGTTGGGACTACGAGTGCGGCGCCTGGGGCATCTTCGAACCAGCTGGAGGCGCTGCGCGGGGTGGGGCGGGATGAGGGTGGGGAGGGGGATGGAGGATGAAGAGATGCGACGAGGACGATGGGGGAAGGGATGTGAGAGGATGACGACCCGTTGCCAATCATCATGGGATCTCGCCCCTCGCATACTGTTCATCCCTCTCGCATTCCCCCTCGCCGTCGTTGTCGTCGCCGTCGCCTCCGCCGCCGCCGCATGCGCCTCCCTGAAGACGGACGTCACCTCGCCCGCCGCCAGCAGCTCCAACGAGAAGGCCTGCGCCGTCGTCGCCCTCGTCGTCGCCGCCGTCCTGCACGCCGTTGCCGCTTTCATTGCAGTCGCGCTGTGTCGTCGTCGCCGTCGCCGTCGCCGTCGCCGTCGCTGTCGCCTTCCACCCTGGCTGATCGGAGGGCGACCCCGCGAGCAAGCAGATCGGCCTGGCGAGCACGGCCGACAGCAACTGAGGCGGGGCGACGAAGACGACGGCGACGACGACGACGACGACGAAGACGGCGACGACGACGACGACGACGACGACGACGACGACGACGACGACGACGACGCTCTCCCCTTCCTCTTCGTCGCCCTCCTCCTCCTCACCTCACCTCCCTCCTCTCCCTCCTCATCATTCTTCTCGCCCTCATACTCGCCCTCTCCTTCCTCCTCCTCCCCCGCCACCTCCTCCGCCTCCTCCTCCTCCTCCTCCTCCTCCTCCTCCTCCTCCTCCTCCTCCCCCTCCTCCCCCTCCTCCTCCTCCTCCTCCTCCTCCTCCTCCTCCTCCTTCTCCTCCTCCTCCTCCTCATCCTCCTCCCCGTCCTCAGCCCCTCATCATCGCGCCCATATTCTCCCCTGCCTCGCGCCGCCATCTTCGTCGCCCTCGCGACCCGCAGGCGATGCGTTCGCGCACGAGCTGTGGCTGCTACCCGTGCGTCGCCCAGGACAGCCAGCTCGCGGGGCGGGAATGGCTACCCTCCGATCCTGACCCCTCCCCCCGCATCCCCCCTCACCCTACCACCCTCACCCTAACTCTCCCACCATCTCCCTATCCCCCCACTCTCCCACTCTCCCGCTCTCCCACCATCTCCCTATTCCTCCCACTCTCCCATCTCCCGATCCCTCCCACTCCCCCGCCCCCTGCCACCACCTCCCTATCCCCCCCCCCCACCATCCCTATAACCATCCCACCCCGCCTTAACCTTCCCACCGTCTCCCTACTCTTCCCTCTCCCTAACCCTCCCACCATCTCCCTATCTCCCCCCCCCCCCCCCCCCCCCCCCCCCCCCCCCCCCCCCCCCGATATCCCTAACCCCCCCGCTAGCCCACTCACCACATCCTCATACCTCACACCATCTCCTAATCCCCGCAGCGCCACGGCGACGACGACGACGACGACGGCGACGACGACGGTGTTGCAATCATTTTGGCTTGAGCCGTTGGCAAACGCGTGCGTCGCCATCCTCACCCCGAGCTAGCCCGCAGCACTGCCGCCGCCGCGACAGCGTGATCATGTCCGCTCAGTGCACGGCCACTGTCGAGGACATGTCGTGTGCGTGCGCGCCCGCGGCATTGGGGCCGTTCCATGGTGGTGGTGATGATTGCGCGTCGTCGGCCGCGCCCGAATCAGAGGCCTCGGATATCTTCTGCGTCGATTGCGACGACCCGATCGTCATGGGCCCTCCCATGATGGGGGTCATGGCCTACCCAGCCACGGGCGTCTCCCCCGCGAAGTACAGGTGCACGTGGTGCAACTCCCTGAAGCGGAGGACCCAGCAGATTCGCAAGGGTAGGCCTGAGGCCTTCGCGCAGTGGACCCACATCCCGCCCGAGGACAAGAAAGCGTTCTGCAAAGTTGCCGCGCACTTGTACGGCGAGGACCTGGTCAAAAAGATGACCGAGTACATCGAGGTGGTGCACGAGAAGAGCAACGAGAGCGCTTGGAAGGAGAAGGGCGATGCCATTCTGTTGTCGGAGGCAAAGGAGCTCCCACGCTTCGTCCGCGAGCCGTGGGCGTTCGACAACTTGGTCAGGAACGTGGGCACGTTCAAGTGCGAGCACACGGGCCAGGAGTTCATCGTTGTTCCTGGGTATTCTTTCGAGAACACGTCGAAGGAGGTGCATAGGGAGACCAACAGCCGCACCGTCGAGCAGGTTTCGAAGATCCCGAGGGTGAAGGCCAAGGCTAAGGCCAAGGCCAAGACCACCGCGGCGACGCAGCCCACGCGCGTGCCCAAGCTGCCCATGGGGCTTGCCAAGAAGGTCGGCCAGGCCTTGGAGAGTTTGCGGGAGTCGAAGCTGGACATTGGAAAGTGCCTCGTGCTGGCGGAGTCGGAGCAAGGCGGCGAGTTCGTGCCCGCCCGTCTCGTGGCCAAGCTGAAGAGCATGCAGGGCGAGATCACCACCTTCACCGTGCAGCTGGACGTCCCGGCGAAGGGCGCAGACAAGGAGGGGGCCGCGAAGGCGATCCAGGCGGCCAAGACTGCGGTCTGTGACCATGTCACCCTGATCGACCAGATCAACGGTGCGCGCGGGTTGTAATGTATGAGTGGCGTCAACGACGACGACGACGACGACGACGACGACGGCGACGACGACGACGACGACGACGACGACGGCGACGACGACGACGACGACGACGACGACGACGACGACGACGACGACGACGAAGACGCCGACGACGACGATGATGACAGTGAGGATGGCAACGACGACTGCACCTCCCCCCCAGCGCCCTCCCGCCCAGGCCTCCTCGAGGACATGCCCGCGGAGGTGCGCTCGGCGCTCCTCCCCGACGAGCCTGCGGGGGCGAATGGGGAGACGGTCGAGGCGGCGCCCGACGGGGCGGCGCTCGGCGAGGCCGCGGTGGAGGCGGGGGGAGACGCAGCGGCGGCGACCAAGTGCCAGGATCGTGCGCCTACGGCCGAGGTGGCAGCCGCGAGGGGGAGTAAGCGTTCGGCCACCGAGGCCTCGGGTGGGAAGGGCCGTGGCCGCGTCGCAGCCGCTGGTGTCGTCAAGGGCAGCGGCAGGGGCCGCGGCCGCGGCGCGGGCAAGGCCAAGGCCAAGGCCAAGGCCAAGGCGTGAGTGCTAGGCCAGCCGACGGATGAGGATAGCGAGGGGGTGGGTGGGGGCGTGGATGATGACGCGTGGGAGGAGGATGGGTGATGAGGAGGAGGAGGAGGGGGAGGAGGAGGAGGATGAGGAGGAGGAGGAGGAGGAGGAGGAGGAGGAGGAGGAGGAGGAGGAGGAGGGTGAGGAGGAGGAGGAGGCGGAGGAGGAGGAGGGGGATGAGGATGAGGAGGACGAGGAGGACGAGGAGGACGAGGACGAGGGGGAGGACGAGGATGAGGATGATAAGGATGACAGCGCCGACGACGACGACGACGACGACGGCGACGACGACGACGAAGACGACGACGACGACGACGTCGACGACGACGACGACGACGCCGACGACGACGACAACGACGACGACGACGACGTCGACGACGACGACGACGACGACGACGACGGCGGCGGCGGCGGTGAGGGCGACGACGACGACGACGACGCTGGTGTCTTGGAGGCAATGGGAGGGGTAGGGCGATGCACATCGGCAACGCATTTTGCCATTTAGGGGCGTGCTGTGAATGCCAGCTGGGCGCTGCGGGTAAACTGCAGCAGCGAGGCTACGCCAGGTCAGCGACGGTGATTCTGCAATGCCATGCTTGTACACGGGCTTCGCCCGACCTAGGCCGCTCCGATCGGGCACCATGGGGTGGGCTCGGCAACTCATGAGTGGATGTTGGAGGACACAAAACAACATGTAGTCGCGGTTCGCTCACCCGCCCTCCTAATCATATCCCAGCTTCTCCGCTCATCCGCCCTCTGACGCAGATATCCGACCGTGTATCCGAGATGCATCCGATCCCATGCTCGACCATGTATCCGAGATGCGCTCGAGACAGCCTCACAACTAACTTTGCGAGTATCCGATGTGTATCCGAGCCTATGTTATGCGGTGTATCCGACCACGTATCCGAGGTGTATCCGAGCGTATCCGAGATGCGGCCGCATTGGGACCACACCGTTGGTAAAAGTTTAGGCGGTTGCTTCATCTACTCTTTCCGCACACTTTCCATTCTCCTCCGCATCTCGCCCCGCCCAGCCCCTGATGGGGGTCATGTTTTGTGTTGGGGCTTAGGGAACTGCTGGCACTGATACGGAAGATGCGGAGGGAGAGGATGAGGCCTCCTCCTCCTCCTCCACCTCTTCCTCCTCACCCCTCCTCGCCCCTCTCCTCCTCTGCCCGCCCCTCCCCCTCCCCCTCCTCCGCCCCCTCCTCCTCATAATCCCCCCTCCCCCTCCTCCTCCTCCTCCTCTCCTCCTCCTCCTCCTCCTCCTCCTCCTCCTCCTCCTCCTCCTCCTCCTCTCCTCCTCGTCCTCCTCCTCCTCCTCCTCTCCTCCTCCTCCCCCTCCCCCTCCTCCTCCTCCTCCTCCTCCTCTCGCCGCGCCCCCTCTCCGCATCCTCCTCCCCCCCCTCCTCCTCCTCCTCCTCCTCCTCCTCCTCTTGCCCCTCCCTCCCCAGCCGCCCCCGCAGGAGCACCTTCGGGTCCGCGCTGCGGCGACTTCGAGGCAATCCTGGGGGTCGCGCGCAGCCGCGTGGGCGCGCGGGGGAGGGGGTCGGGGGAGGGGGCCTGGGGGGGAGGGGGGAAGGGGAGTGGACTGGGGAGGATTATATGGGGTGGAAGGGAGGAGGAGGTGAAGGTGGATGGTGGGGGTGGGGAAGGGGTAGGAGGAGGGGGGGGGAGATGATTAGGGCATGGAAAGGGACGATGAGGAGGGAAAACGAAGGTCCCAGGGAGCGAAAATCACCAAATTCCCCGGGGAAACACAGCAAACCCGAAACCCAAACATAGGTTACAAAACACAAATTTCCCCGGGGAAACGCATACAACACCAACACACCGAAACCGCACAACAATCACCAGAATCCCCGGGGAAACGGTAGGCCCATCATGGCTTCTGGAGGCCCCGCGCGGCTGCCCACCAAGCGGGGGAGGGCAGGGGGCTCTTGCATGTTGGCCGCGTCGCTCACTGGGTCCCGCAGAACACCCTGCACCGTATGCTTCATCCCTCCACCACCAGTCTAGTTATCACCCTCCTCCCTCTCCTCCCTCCTCCTCCTTCTCCTCCTCCTCCTCCTCCTCCTCCTGTTCCTCCTCCTCCTCATCATCATCATCATCATCACCATCATCACCATCATCATCCTCCGCATCCTCTCCATCCTCCTCCCCCCGTTTCCACCTCCATGCCCTCATCCTCCTCATCATCCTCCTCCACCTCCCCTCCTCCCCTTCCCCCCCTCCTCCCCTATCCTCCCCCCCCTCATCCCCTCCTCCCTCCTCACCCCTCCCCCCCCTACTCGCCTCCCCCTCCTCCTCCTCCCCCTCCTCCCCTCCCCCCCCCCCCCCCTCCTCCCCCCCCCCCTCCCCCCCCTCCTCCCCATCCTCCTCCCATCCTCCCCTCCACCACCATGCCCCGTAGCCGTTTTGGCCCGATCGGCTCGCGCGTGGCTTCGCCATCGGAAGCTTTTCGGAGTGCCATCACACTCATCTAGATTTGTATCCAGAGAGATGGATCAGCAGTCGGACGTTGTCCACCGCGCGCAGACGGTGATCGAGTTCATGAGGGCGAGCCAGGCGTCGACTGGGGAGGTGGACCTACGCCAGGCTCGCAGCATGATGGAGGACGCCGCCAACTCCGTCGATCGGGTCTCGGCGGCGGATGCCACGGCGGTATTGACCGCGATCAATGGGAGCTTGTTCGGCCACGAGGACCGCGCGTATCTCGGGCGCATCGTCACTGCCAAGGTGACCGCTGTGCCCGCTGCAGGGCCAGGTGCAGCCAGCCGCCAGCAGAACCAGCGCTGCTTGCAGTTCGAGAACTTCCTCACCGAGGACATCTGGAACTTGTTGCAGCAGCCAGCCACCCAGTGGAACGACGCGTTGCAGGCATTCGTTCGCCGCTGTGAGAAACTCGGCCTTGTCCACGCCAGCGAGACGACCTGCGTGCACATGTGGTGCGTCTGGCTGGTCGCGAGGACGCCGCCGAGCATGGAGCCCATGACCGACGCGGGCGAGACGCTACGCAGGAAGAGTGAGATCATGAACCACTTGCAGCTAGTGCGCAACCGTGTTCGCGCGCCCCACCACGGCACCATCATCCAGTTCCCCGACACGGTGGATGGCTTGCGCCAGAACTACCCCGACGTGTGGGGGATCGCGTACGGTGGCCACACTGCGCCGTGCGCCAGCCCAATTACGGCGTTGCGCGTGGAGATGCTCAGGAGGGCGTTGCCCTGCAGGGTTTCGCACGGCTCGGCGAGGGGCTTCGCGCCGACGCGCTCTCGCGGCATCGGCGCGAGGATTGGTGCAGCGCTGCGCCATGGAGTCGGGCGCGGAGATGCGTTCGCCCCGCAGCCTGGCGATCCGTACGTGCCTGGCCTCACCATCTTCGGGCATCACCAGCCGTCAGCGAGCGGGCGCGCGGGTGGCCGCCAGCAGCTCGAGGACATGCAGGCCGACCTCCATCGCCAGCAGCACCAGATCAACCAGCAGTTGGCCTTGCACGACGCGCAGTTGGCGGGCTACCCGCCCAGGGCCGCGCCGCGCCCTGACATGCTCGCACTGCCGCCTCCGATGACAGCGGGCGCAGCGGGCGCAGCAGGCGCAGCAGGCGCAGCAGCGCCAGTGGGCGATGGCGGTGCACTCGCCCCCGTCGACGGCAGCCTCGGCGATGGCGAGCCAGCTGGGGATGCCGCTGGTGGTGCCGAGCCTGATGGCATGCCTACAGGAGGAGCCGCGATATGTTAAAGGGGTGTATAGGGAGGGGCGGAGGGAGGGTATGATGAGAACTGTGAGAGCGAGGGAGAGAGATAGAGAGAGAGAGAGAGAGAGAGCGAGAGAGAGAGAGAGAGAGAGCGAGAGAGAGAGAGAGAGAGAGAGAGAGAGGGAGAGATGGGAGGGGAGATAGGTCTAGTTTTACGGATAAGACTCGCCCCAGCCAGAAGGTCGGCAGCGGCGTCGTCGACAACGACGACGACGACGACGGCGACGACGGCGACGACGACGACGACGACGACGACGACGACGACGACGACGACGACGACGACGAGACGAGCCCGCAGGAAGCGTTGAGGACATGGAGAAAGCCTTTGCGACGGTGATCGGCTCCGTGGGCAAGGGCAAGGCGGCGGCGATGAGGCGCCCAGCGGCGGCCGCGTCGCCACGCCCCAAGGGTGGCGCCAAGGCGGCCAGCAGCAACGCGACGCCCAACAAGATCGCCAAGCCAGTCATGAAGGCCATGAAAGCCGCGAAGCTGGAGCCCGTGAAGATGCCCACTCTCAAGTACCCTGGGGTGCCAAAGAAGGCGCAGCCACCTGTGCTGTACAAGCAGTGGAAGATCTACGTGTCCATGGGCAGGCAGGTCTGGCGCACCCTGAAGCAGGGGGAGAGGGTTGACCAGCAGTTCAGTTTCGCCCACGACCCCAAGACAAGCTGGGCCAACCTGGTGAAACACGTGATGAAGGGCTAGGCCGCCGCTCGCGCGCCCTTGCCGACGGCGGCAGTGACGACGGTGCCGCCGCCGCCGACGACGACGACGACGACTACGACGACGACGACGACGACGACGACGACGTGGCGACAAAGGCTGCGAAGGCGACGGCGGCGGCGACGGCGACGACGGCGACGGCGACGACGACCGAGAGAGTTCGACGACGACCGACGATGCGGTCTAGGGGCTCAGCATTGGATTTAGTCTAAATCTGCACGTGCTGTATTTTGCAACAAGTCGGTGGCGCCGAGGCAGCCATCTAGAGTTCGGGGAGGCTTCGCTCCATGCAGCAAAGAAAACAAAGGCTTGCCATCGTCAACCCTCCCTCCATCGTCTCCCCGATCCCCAACTCGGTCGCCCTCCCCACCTTCAGACCGCGCCCCGTGGGGGCACTGGAGGGCGAAGCCTCTCCAGCAGCATTGCGCTTCGGCTTGGATCGGGCACCTCCCGCCCCCCCCCAGGCGACCCATAGCTATCGGCCCAGAGTC